ACCCCACCGACCGACCGACCGACCGACCGACCGACCGACCACTCCACTCTCTCACCGTGAATTTCTCCTATCCGGCGTTAAGAAGTTCTCTTTTGCTCCCCGTCCAAACATTTTCCCTCCTCGTTTTCCCTATCGATCGTTTTTTTTCCTTTCAAATTTACATTCATTCCCGGTGTTGTAGTTGGATTTCGACGGATAAATAAATAAAAAAGAAAGAGAGAGGGAGAACCGTCAACCACGTAGAATCAACGACGGGAACCACGGGATATAGAGAATAGAACGAGAAAAAGCTCGTGCTTATCGAGCAAATTTGATCAATCGGCAATTTCATTCGGGTTCTATTCTATTCGAGGAGAGGGGGACGATATTTGACACGATCCCGTCTCTCGATTTCTTTTTTATCGAGCGAGCATAACGGGGCTATAAAGCGGGGCGCTCGGAATGTTAAAAGTTGATTTATTAACCTTTGATTTATACCCTTATCGATCGGGAACGAATGCATTNTGGCAAGATAGCTCGCCGTCGCGCGTCGTGATCGACCTTTTCATCCCCCCCTCCCCCCAATTCTTTTCTCGTCCCCCTCCTGTTTCCCTTTTTCCTCTCCTCCCACACAACAATCACACCGTTTACGCGCCCATATTTCTCGTAGGGGTCGGTCTGTCCGCCTGTTAATAAGCGTAACGCGATAAAAAAGTGACGTATACCTGTTTGACCCACGATATTTTCGAAGAGTCGTCTCGAAAGTCGCGTTGAAAGTTGAAAGGAAGCACGGATCCCCCACCCTGTGAAAAGGAGCGTAGGCGCATAAACATGAAGGACGTGTCGGATGCAAATTTCACGAGTTTTTCCAACGGCGTTGACGAATAAGGCGACGAAAAAAAATGTTGCTCTCGAAACTGAACGCTTGGTCGAGCAACCGAGGTTTACTTTCCCCTTTGTTATCGAGCAAAGTGAACGAGGGAGGGGGGATACTTGAGAGGTCTCCTCCTATGCGTAACGTTGTCCTCCTTCTTTCATCCGCGAAGATCGAAGATTTCCTTCTCGAATTTTAGAAGAATTTTTCTTTTTTTTTTTTCGTATTAAAATATCAAATTTCGCGTGAAAAATTTGCGACGAGATCGTGCCCCGCGAAGTTGGAGGTAATCGTTGGAGAGTATCGAGAGTGAATGTTCGAGGATGGGAACGATCATGAAGTTTCTGTTTGTACGTTGGTCAAAATTCGTGCGACATGTACTAAAGAGAAAAGCCATCCACGTTCAAGAGTTTCTAACCACTTTCGGTGACTAGCCAAGGAAAATTCTTCGATGGTGTACAAAGAGGACGTGACACTGCCCCTGTTACCCTGTCAAACTCTCCTGCATAAATTCGTAACATCGTAATGTTTCGAGGTTATGTCGATGATGCAAAGTGAACGCGCGTGAACCTTCGAAAAATTTCGAAAAAAATTCGTAGATAACGTTCGACAAAAAAGGAAAAATCGTACAGATAAAGAGATCGTGTTAAGTCGTCCGAGTTTTTAAAGAGTTCACCCCCCCCGTGCCGACCTGAGACCTCCAACTTTATATATATACATACATACATACATACACACACACACATATATATACACAAAGAAAAAAAAAATCCCCTTTCGAATTCCAATATTCTCGTCGGTTTGATATTTCATCCCGATGAAGTATCGGAAGGAACAGGAAATATCTTCGACCGAGAATTGAGAGAGGGTGAGGAATAATGAAGAGAGGGACGAAGTGTGTCGCGCAGACCATCAACTTGTCCAATCCGGAAACATGCATAAGACCGAAGAGGATTCAGAAGCTCGTTTCAGCGGACACGATGCAACCCTGTCCGACGATGACCGGCCCAGCGTCGTCTTATTGGACGCCCAAACCGGTGGCCATTAGAATCTGCACGAGGAAGGATATGCAAAGAACTTGCCCGCCCAAGGTGACCACCTCCTTCAAACCTCGACAATACATACGTCCTTATATATATATATATAAAAAAGATCCCAGCTAAAGGAAAAATTTAATCCAACGTTACGCTCAACCGCTTCTATAATTTATAATTATATTTTATAATTATACTCATTTATAATTTCTTGTTCGAGATATAAACGCGTTATAAAGTAACTTTATTTTCTCGTTATCCTCGTTATCTCAAGCCGCGTCTGTATCGGTTACTCGATCGAGTCGTTACGTTTACCTGGAAATTAGGATGACGGTTCGATGCGCGTGTACACACAGCTATGGCGGAGGATGAGTATCCGACGGAGAGGGAGGGGGGCACGCCACTTACGTGACGACCCGTGACGTGAGTCGAGCGCCCATAGTCGCGTTTAACTGCAGAGAGCGCTCTCGTCGAGGCCGGAGAGCCCGGTATTCTCGAGGGTTTCGTAAACGCGACGAATCCTCCTTTTACACGAGCTTATTTCGTACCTTCCCTCTTCCTTCCTCCAACGGCTCAGCACTGCTTGTGTT